TGCTCCAGGGGTGGTTTATGGCTCTGCCCTGGCACGAAGCCTCAGCCAGGCACTGAATTGCAGCATGACAGGGACGCTGCAGTGCTCACTGAGCCCCACGTCGGTTGGGCAGCCACGGGCAGCGTGGTGTGTCAGTGCCCTTCGTTAAGCCAGATGCGTTTGGCAGGTTTGGTCACACCACGTGCCGGAGGGATAATGTTGCTTGTCCCGTACGGGCTGAAATCAGGCAGCCAAGGCCAGCCTGAAGAGCTGGTGTGAAACCTCGTGTTGAGGGCAGGCATGCGTGCCCCCAAGAAGCCGCACCCCAATCTCTGCTCCCTGAAGACCCGCTATGCCACGTGGCTTTTCCCATCCAGGTGGCCCTGGTGCCGCTCAGGGATGGAGGGGGCTGGGGACTTGCTGGAGAGCAGCGGCTGCTCCAACCTGGCCTCCAAAGAGTAGCTCAGCCCCCCTAAACCTGCGATCCTTTTCCAGAGTTCCTCTTCCAGGGGGTTAATGCGGCGGCACTATCAGCTGCAGACTGCTATGTGCGAGGCTGCCCTGTCCTAGGAGGAGGTCTCCAATGTCACCCCGATCGTGCGTCAGCCCTGCTTGCTGGCTGGGCGGGCAGGGATGGAGCACCGACTTCACCGGCTCTCGGTGGGGATGGACATCAGGGCACTACGGGGGTCTCTGTGACTTCATTTTGTGCTAGGAAGACTTATCACCATTTTATGGAGAGGGATTTGGGAGCACGGCAGGGTGAGAAGCTCACCCAGATGCCTGGACATCTTGAACGATGGTCCTTGGCTCCCAGCTCATGCCCAAACCCCTAACCCACAATGCCCCCCTTATTTTTCCTAACAGAGCTTCAAGCTCTGCCAAGAAACTGGGCAATGGCCCCTTGCTCTGGCAGACTGCTCCCTGTGCCTGCCACAGCTCGCAGATGCTCTGCACTACCTGAACCCTTACTTTTTTTGGTAGGGGAGGCCAACTGTTGCAGAGAGCCCGAAATCCCGTGTACCATGGGGTGGGCAGGGGCTGGCGGGGGGCAGCTCACCCTGGGGCAGCAGCTGCTGCTGGCTCAGGCACTTCTTGTCTTTCCTGGCCCCCGGCGCTGTAAGTTAACACCCTACAGGCGGGTCCAAAGAGGATTTCAACGAAACATGAAGCTTGGGAGGAGAGATTATGCTGCAGAAGTGGCCTGAGAGACTGTAAAATATGCACTCCCGCAATCTCCAAAGAAGGAACTGGATTTACTCCCTGGGGAGCAGGGTCATCCCTGGTCTCAGTAACGGTGTCTGAGGGGGGAGATGAATGCCTTGAAGATAGGTCACCCCCTTCTGTCTCAGCTTGGCCCTGCTGAGCCTCCCCGGGACCCTAGGAGTGCTTTCTTTCCCAAAATTTGGTGCCTCCTGGTAGGTCACTGCTTAATGAAAACCAGGTTTAGGACAGATGCCTGTGAAAATGCCCCCAGCATGGCTGGCCCTTCGCTTGCATGAAGCACCACCTGGGAGAGTAAAGGAGTGGGGTGGCCTTTCCAAGGCCGTTTGTGCTCCCCCAGCACCCTCTGCCTGCACCCCTGCACGCTGGGAAGGAGGGCTGCCAGTGGCTTCTGCCCCGCAGGCTGCTGGTTTGGGATGAGGTGGCCTGTTCTAGGTCCTGTAACGCCGGGAGCAGAGCTGCATGCTGCTTTTGTTTTGGGTGGTTTGTTGGTTTCTGAGGCAATTGTGTCTACAGAGCGAGGAGAGCTGGGCTCCCATCCCGCAGGACTCAGTGGGGATGTGCTGACCCTCGCAGCCCACTGTGCTGGCGTCTGAGTGTGGGTACTGTAGGCGAAGGCTGCCCCACCAGCCCTCCTGCCCTTCCTAGGAGCCCTTCTTGCAGGGGGCTTTGATGCTACTACTTTAAGTCTCTTGACATCCTGGTGAGAAAAATCAGAGCGGTGGTCTCCAGTTCACTCTTCTGGAGCCTGCAAAGGTGCAGACCCAGAAGGGGCCTGGAGAGGAGCGATGTGCTTTTCCCAGTCCTTCAACATGTCACTGCCAAGGTCCTTCTGGTTCTTAGCAGGGTCTCGTACCCAGGGTGCAGCCCTGGCCATGGTGAGCGTGATCCTCTCTGTGTCCCCCCATCATATGATGCCATATGCTGTCTTGAGCTGGGTCTGGAAGAGCGTGGTAGGGTGGTGTTTTTTGGGGCAGAGCTGGAGGAACCCCGCACAGAGCTGCTCCACTCTTCTCCTCCCTTTTTCGCCCATCTCTTGCTTTGTGCAGTGTGGCACAAGCCTTGGTCTTGGGACCACAGAGAAGCTGTATGTCAGGGCCAAGCAGATGCAGCTGCAGGTACAGGGGCAGCCCGTGCTATGGCCAGGTGCCTGACTTGGGTCTAGAGCCGGTCCTGGCAGCCTGTGAGTGACAAACTGCAGAACAGGCGGAAAGGGACTGTCACCGAGCCAAGGAGAGCTGTGCCACACCAGCTCGTGTGTCCGCTGGGGCTGCTGCCACCTTCTTGGCACAGCCCAAACTCCAGCCCCGTGGGGCTGCCTCCCGCTCCCTGCTCCAGATGCTCCGGACCCCATCCGTTAAGTGGCTTTGGGTTTGCACCAGAGTCCCCTGGTGCCCCAGCCCATTTCCAGTGAGCTGTCACCTGCCAGCAGTGGCTCTTGGCCTTGTGTCCTCTGCCCTCCACTCCCTGGGGACGGCTGCTTTTGCACACGGGTGAGCACTAGCGGAGTCGGGGCTCCTCTCTTTGAGGGAAGGTGGGTACGTCTGCTCTAGGGCAGCACTACCCCGCAGCCCACCTTCCTTTGCTGGCTCACCCAGGAGCGAGCTGCCTTTTCACCCCATCCCTCTTCTCTCCCACAGGCACGTACCAGGGCCAGTTCACCAACGGCATGCGGCACGGCTACGGGGTACGGCAGAGCGTGCCCTACGGCATGGCCTCCGTGGTCCGCTCCCCGCTGCGCACCTCCCTCTCCTCCCTGCGGAGCGAGCACAGCAATGGCACCCTGCCCCAGCAGGACTCCCCCGCTGCCAACCCCGAGAACCTGCCCCTCTCGCCCACCATCACCCGTGGGGGCTTCGCCCTCAGCCTCTACGCGGAGGCGGAGGCCGGCAAGCCCAAAAAGGGGGGGCTCTTCCGCAGGGGCTCCTTGCTGGGGAAGCTGAAGAAGTCTGAGTCCAAGTCATCCCTGGCCAGCCAGAAAAGCCGCGTCAGCTTCCTCAAGAGTGAGAGTGGAATCAGCTCGGCCGCCAGCGACGCCACCTCCACTGTCAGCCTGGGCGAGGGCGCTGAGGGTGAGGAGTACCCCCCCTTTGAGTCCGACATCGATGCCACCACCACAGAGACCTACATGGGCGAGTGGAAGAACGACAAGCGTGCCGGCTTTGGTGTCAGCGAGCGCTCCAGCGGGCTGAAGTATGAGGGCGAGTGGCTGGACAACCTGCGGCACGGCTACGGCTGCACCACGCTGCCCGATGGCAAGAAGGAGGAGGGCAAGTACCGCCACAATGTCCTCGTCAAGGGCATGAAGAAGCGTGTGATACCCCTCAAGAGCGCCAAGATCCGGCAGAAGGTGGACAGGAGCGTGGAGGGCGCTCAGAGGGCCGCGGCCATCGCCCGGCAGAAGTCAGAGATCGCAGCATCCAGGTAGGTGCTCAGGGCTCCAACATGCAGGTCCCCATGGTGGTGGTGGTCCCCATCCCACGTGTCCCTCTGGAGCTGTACTGCGTGCCTCCTCACCGCACACCAGCGGTGGGGTCAAACGTGTCTCCCTGCAATTTCTATTTAATTCTTTGTAGTAGATGCTGGCGAATTGGGGCTGAGGGCCCTCGTGGCAGCCCGGGGGTGTTTGGGACCTGTCTTCCTCATGCCTCCTCTCCTGTCCCCCTGCAGCCCTGGTCCAGGAGGGAGCTGCTGGACAGGGCCTGGCACTGGCCCTGGCACTCAGCGGGATGGGGAGCAGGAGTTGGTGGGATGGGGAGCACCCTGGTGCCGTGCCAGGCCACTGGAGCTGCTGGGCGTCATTGATGGGGCGGGATGAGAAATAGTGGGGTTTGGCTATGGTAAATCCAACAGGCTCCTGAGCAGCCAGCAGGACGTGTCCCAGATGAATTGGGTCCGCAGCAGAGCGTGGCTCGGCCCTGGAGACCCCAGTGTGGCTCTGCAGGGAGTTTATGGGATGCATTAGGGTTGTTGCTTAATTTTAGCAGCTCAGTGTAATGGGCTCTCTGGGAAGAGCACTGCTCTGCTGGGATGCTGTGAACCAGGAGGGAGGACCTATGGCGGATACCAAACCAAGGAGGGGGCTGCCTCGGGGAGTCCCGTCTCCCCCCAGGACCCAGTTGCCCTCAGCCAGGTTTTGAGTGTTTCTGCCACGAGAGAGGTGGTGGCCAGAGCCAGGGCAGATGACTGAGCCCACGGTGGATGGCGGAGCCTGATCCCATGGCACACAGCCATGTCCCGCAGCCTGGGATGCTTTAGGGTGCTGGGAAAGGAGGAACCAGGGAGGGCTCAGCTGGGTTTGTCTCCTTTTTTCCCCCCAGTTTGTCCTGGCCAGACCCTGGGGGTGGGAAGTGGGCTGCAGCAGCCAGCAGCGAGCGGCAGCGTGCCTGGGGATGCGTGTGCAGGGGCGTGCAAGGGAGGATCGTGCAAGGGGCTGCTGTGAGCACGTGGCAGTCTCTCGTCACACAGTTGTCCCTTGTGCCAGAAGACATGCGGGCACTGCGTTGCCCCTACACCGCCTGGTATGTTGGGACCCGACAGGTGGGCTCCGCTCAGAATTAGCTGCGTTAGAAATTAGCAGGAAAGGAAAGTGCTAATTGCTCTGTCATCCCTCCTGCGATGGAGGAGGGAGGAGATAAAAGAGGGACTCCAGGGTCTGCCTGGGAAGGGCAGGGGAAAACCACCTTCTCCTGCTCGCGTCCCTGCCTGCATCTGAGCTGTGCCAGCAGTGCGCCTCTGCTCCCACAGCATTCTTGCCGGTCTTGGAGCCGGCCTGGCAGAGACCAGGGCTCAGGCAGGGTCAGAGCCTTTGCTCCTTTCCTCTTCCTCAGGGAAACGTGGTTACGAAAGATCTCGAGGTTTCATCTTGCCTCTCCATCAAAACCTCGCCCCCTCGCAGGCTTTGCTTAGCTGCTGGGCAGTGGGTAGGACTCCATGGCTGTCCTGCTTTGCTCCTTTTTAGTGCTGTTTAATTATCAGTGTTCCTTCATTACCAAGCAGAGATGGGAAATGATGGCGGCAGGGAGGGCGCCTGCTCCCAAACCCCATCCCTCCCCTCCAAGAAACCCTGGCTTTACTCTCCTGGCGGCTGTTTCTGCTCCAAAGTTTTGCGGAGAACGTGATTGTTTTTTTAGCAAAACCCAGTTGCCTCGGAGACCAACGGAGAAAAACCAGCAGGATTGCCAGTGAAACGATGTGCAGGGCCAGCTAGGATAAAAATAACAGGCTGGGGCAGCATGGGGCCCACCGGATCCTCCCGGCAGGGCAGGCTCAGCCTGACACTGGCTTCGCCGTGCCCAGGAGAAGTGTGCGGCTGCAGTGCTGGGTGCCTGTAAATAAGGAGGCTGGAGCTGTAAAAGCTGCTTCCCGACAGCTCGGCCAGTTTACGCAAGCCTCTTTTTATTATATACTATTTACACTTTGGATCAAAAGTGGCTCTGCAGTGTTTTCCATGAGGGGCTGGAATGCGCCTGCTACCCTGACGGGGGACTGCGTCCCTCCCCAGCACGGCTGGGGAATAATTTCCTATTAAGGAAACCTCGGAGCTGGAGGAAGTAAGACGTTAAAGCCGGTTTCCTCCAGGGAGTCCTCCCCTAGCATACCCTGCGATAGTGTGGTGGTTGTGGCAGGGGAAGAAAACACCGCTTTCCCCAGCAGTGTGATGCCCCTGGTCCCATTCCTGCGGTGCTGCCTGCAGCTGAGCTGGACCCACTGCAAGAAGAGAATTCGGGCTCCTCCGTCCCATAAACTATAACTCACCGTTTCCACCAGTGTTTATTCCTGGCATGTGTTGCTCTGGGCAGAGCCACTCTCTCTACCTGCTGCCTTTTGAAAATCTGAGTCGTGCTCTCCTTCCTCCTCCTTTCAGCTCAGTTTTGGGGTCGAGAGTAAATATAGATAATTTTGCCTCGAGAGGGTCCTTAGGTTAAACCCCAGCTCTGCCACCAACTTTCTCTTTGGCCTTGAACCTTGCCTCAGTTTCCACACCCAGGACAGAGAGTAATTGCAGACAGGTTGTGAAAATCGATTATTATAGATTATAAAAGGGCTGTACTGTCATTAGCATTGCCCTAGCTCGTAACTGCGAGGTGGAGTTTTCTAGATGGAGCATTAATATTTTTCCTCAGATGGCAGTGTGTACCTTACCCAAAGAAATGTCTTTGAGGCTACATGAATCCTTTTTTGGGGGAAGATGTGACATATCTGTATGTAAGATTATTGCTAGGAACTAATTAGCAGGACACAGCAGCCGGGCTGTGCAGACGTCCGACTACCTCTGCGTACCTGTGCTGTTCTGCATGGTTGTTTGAGTTTCATTTGCTTCTGGCACCTGGGGGAGCCCCTTGCAGAGCTAAACCATGGTGATATCCAGCCTTCCACTGTCTGGGGGTAAAACGTCAGGAGAAGACCAGATTTTACTCTTTTGCACCATAAAAGGCTCTTTAAAGCATAGATATCCTGAGGAAAACAAGCCGAAGCGCTGGAAGCTGCCTCGGCCAGTTGCACCGCAGGAATCCCAGGCACGTGCCCGAGCTCTGGGGGTGCGCGGGCAGGCGGCTACCAGCAGTGCCGATGCGTGTCCTGCCTGTGATCTGCCCTGCGGAGGTGGGCGGGAGAGCGGTGACGGTCGGGGACAATGGTCAGCCACAGACAGCAAACCTTCCTTATCCCGCACTCTGCTCCGAGGGCATCTGAGGCACCAGGCTGCTTTGCAGCTCCTGCCCCGTCTGCCTGTTCAGCCTGGGCGTTCCAGCCGGCGCCGTGGGCAGTGCCAGCTATTGCCTGCCCCGCTGCCTGTCCTGCCCGCGTGGTGCTGCCCTGGCCTCCTTGGCTCCCTCCCGAATCCTCCCGGGTCGGCAATCCAGCTGCTTTCCCCATTGTGCAAGTGGCTGAGGACAGAGCTGGCATTGCCTAGCCACCAGCTGAGGGAACAGCAATTTTTTTTAATTTTTTTCATTATTTTAGTGAAAATCATTTGCCATGGGGGTCACGCTGTCCTGAACAGCCCATCCCAGCTCAGCCAGCAGCCCCCTCACCCCAGGCAAAGCCCCTTGGCGCTGCTCAGACATCGGGCAGAAACCCGGGGCATGTCTGTCGGCAGCACTGGGGATCAGCTGATGGGATAGAGCTAATGGACGTTAAGGTATGAGGAATCCTCCCCCAGACTGCTGTCACTTGGGAGAAAAGTCATCCTGGAGTGCAGCCTCTGCGGCAGCCAGTGGAATCAGCTTTACTCCTGCCCAGGGGTAACCACAGGTGGACGTGGGGGTTACCAGGTGCCGTATGATGTCCGTTAACAGTGCCCGGTACTGCTGGTGCCCCGGGACTTCCTTGCTGTGATCCCAAGGGATTCCCATTGGAGCTGGAACGCAGCTGTTCCCGCAGTGCCAGGTGAAGGCACCCGCCGTGTCCCTCCAGCCTTCCCCTTTCCCACCCTCCGCCCTGTCTGGGCGTTCCTTCAAAAAAAATGTCGGGGTGGGTGGGAAAGTCAGTGAGGTCCTGGGATCGCAGCCGGGATGTCATCTCCCGGTGCGTAAGTAAAGAAGCTGGCTGGAGGACGGCCAGCAGGTCTGTCCCCTGCCAGCCCCCACGAGGAGGGGACAGCCGCCACCAAGCCATGAGTGAGCCAGTTAAAAGCCATCCGGAGGTGTGTAACAGCTGCCCTGGAGTTTTCTGGGCATGTGGGTTGGTGCCGAACAGGGTGCTCTGCACCCTTGGGTGCTTGGGGAGCTGCAGCACCCAGGGGGCTGCCTGTGCAGTATGTGCTCCGGTGTCACATGGGGAGGATGGTCCCACTGAAAGCAGGGAGAAGGAGCGTGGAAGTGGTCAGCTTTCATCTCTTCAGAACAGATTAAAATAAAATAAAAAACAAGAGGAAGGGCAGGACCAGCTGCAGGGGGAACCTTTGATTTTTTTTTTTTTTTTTTTTTTGGAATGCTGTACGCTCAGTAGCCGGGCAGCTCACACAGGGGATTTCCTTCTCACTGGCTCTTTTGGGGGACAAAATGAGTGTAAATACTGCAAATCCCACTGCAACAGTGTCTGCCGTGGTCTGCCTCTGCACGGGGTTGTGATTCCCAGTGGCTTGGACCAAAATCAGTGGAGGGACTTGGCTGTGCGTCCTGCAAGGCATGGGTCTGGCCACACTCTGAGATCATTTGATGGTCATTATGTCCTGTTAGCAAAACCTCAGCTGTATCTGCGCGTTACATCCTGTTAGCAAAACCTCAGCTGTATCTGCCAGATGTCACAGGATCAATAGGAAAGCAAGGCACAAGGGGCAGTAATGGCTTCTGTGCTTCACCTGTTTGTCTTCAGATACTGGCCCTGAAGCCCCTGTGCAGCTGGGGTGTTTTATGCCTGGAGAGTACAACTAAAAATGAATAAATTTTGCATTTATTTTTGGTTTTAATGTAATATCTATA